AGAGTCGGTGAAGTGAGTGTACTTCACAGAGGAAGACACTACCCGTCGGCAACTCAGAGGAAGAGATGGAAAACGCTCCCGCGCATATACATAAAAAAAGCCACTGCTGAGAGCTGCGTAGAATAGCTTTGCATTAAAAAAGTCAAACACTCTCCAAAGCGTAGCTGGGTGTGTGGGTTGAGTGGGGGAGAAGTCGCCCGATGCATTAAACCAGAAACGCAAACGTGAAAACAGTTTTGCAGCAGACTGTGAAAGTGTGGCTGCCCACCCGTCTGCGTGAGCTCCCCCATCTCGCAGGCGCTGTGGTTGGGCAGACGGGGGACGGAGCCCAGCGGGGGCTCCCAGTGGCCGCGGCCCCCCTGGGCCATGTGGCGGATGAAGGAGTCCAGCAGCTGGTGGGAGGGCTTCCTGAGGGCGGCAGAGGGACACCGGCACTTAAAGACATGGCTGTGGTTCTGACTACAGCCGAGGTGACCCGGAAGAACTCACTTCTGCTCCAACGGTTGTACAAAGTTCCATTTCATTGATGCTGTCGAATTAGCCTACACAACATTATTGCTTCGCCGTTGTTTCAGAATAACGGACTGCGCTTTGTTGCGAGTAATGTGTGTATTTAAACAGTGGCATGTTATCATTAAACAGAACATCTTAATGATTTATTCACTCAAACAAACAGTTTCTTTCTACGTGATATCAGACATTGAGCCCCCACCCCCCCGTTGAAGCCCGGATGGTATGATCCTTTATCTCATAACGAAGACACTCAGCAGCTTCCTGTTCACAGCTTTTACTTTTGACCTCGGACCTCTTCGTCCTGGTGGATTTGAAGCGTCTCGGCAACACAATATTTTGATATGCAGTCAAAGATAATCTAGAAAATTGGTTTAAAATGCAAATCACAACCTGAAGAGAAAGAACAACACTTTACAGCAAGTGTGATTTTGCTTTAAAAAGAGACTTCACATTTAACATTTAACAATTTCCTAATTTTCAGCAGACATTTTCCCAGGTCAGTGTTGGACAACTTAAACAGATGAACAAATTAAATGGCGTTACTTCACATGGGTCCAGTTATCTCTTAGTATACATTGTTTGATTCTTCACTACTTTATTGAATACTTAATGACAACCTTCTCTCCTGCACTTCCCGTCTCTACCACCAGGTGTCTCTCTACCACACGTTCATGTGTGTGGGAGGGAATGTGTTAAGATGGAGATGTAAAAGGACGAAGTAATGAGTGGCCTTGGGACAAAACACTTGCATAAATACATGTAGGCGCATGCGCGCCACACACACACACGCACACGCACACGGGCAGCGAGGGGAGCAGTCATGACCTGATAGATCAGAGATGATTGAAGATTATAGTTTCATTTTTTTTTTTTAAGCTGTGGGAGCTCAGCCTGTTGAGATTAAAGGAGCATAAAGACACAAACACACACACACACACACACACACCCACAGTTTCCATAGTTATCACTGGTTTGGGCATGAAGAAGAAAGAAAAGGGGGCCTACTACTTTATCACCTTTAATGCAGGCTTGTTGTGACTGACTAAACGCGGTGAACATCATCTGAAATATGTAGTGGAAATGACGAGGTTTAAACTCAGAGTGTGCGAAGCAAAAATGAAAGTAAAAAACGTAATGGAGAAAGAATAAAACCCCCGACTGAGTCTGTAGTACTGGTGGGAGATCAGGGAAAGGGAGGGTGTGGGGGGGGATGCTCCCTGCTGAAGAGAGCTCAGTTAACCGCAGACGGAGACAGCGGGTCGGAAAGCTACTGGTGCCAACGCACACACACACACACACACAGACACACTCCCTGGGCATATGCTGGTGTGGATCACATCTCAGTAATTACAGCCCGGTCTGAATACAAACCACGCTAATCCTGTTACGAGAACACAATGAATATAGAAATAATATTAAATATCAACAAACAAGACAAACAGACACTGTGAGCGCAGCCGTTCTGCGTTCGTCCTCTTATAAACTGAACTTGGTTTCAGAGAGAAGTGTGAGGTTAGCATCGAGCACGCCGCTACCTTGAGCTAAATGCTAACCGCGGCGTGCCACCATGTCACTTCGTTTTCTTCCATTGGCAAAGGAAAACCTGAGCTCTCTTTCTTGTAGGTCTTCACTCTGAGTGAAGTAAATCTCTTAACGCTGCATTCTCTCTGACCAGCACGACTCCTCTGGTCCAATTGACGTCTATGAGAAAATGACTCTTCTTCTCTCTTGATTTATTCCCTCAGTAAACATTGTGAACTTGAGTTTATGGTCTCAATCTCTAGTTTCAAGTCTTCTTCAATAGAGCATGATGTTCATTTAGGAAATGATGGTCCATTTAGAGTCAAACAGACCATAAAGCAGCAGAGGCTTTAGGGCGACGCTGCACGCTGATTGACGGGAGTCAAAACATGGGCTTTATTAAGCAGTAACAGCTGAGATAGTGTGGTATGTGATATAAAATTGTATATTAATAAAGGAATAATAAGTTCAACCTACTGGTGGTTCTGGGGCTAACGCAACGAGGCTTTACTTCCTGAGTAGAGACGTTAGTACATCAGTGTACTCAACCTGATTACTGTGCATTTCTGCGTCGATACCAACCTCCACCCTAAGAGGCTTGTGTGCTGCACGGCCTACTTTCAGCTGGAGTCCAAAGATCAAGGGCATTGGACAATGTCCAATAGCTGGACGTACACGGCATCCTCCTGTATTAGTCTGAAGCGCCGCCGAGTGTCACCGGGCCAGCTCTAAAGATTACAGCTGCGTCCAGATGTGCCGAGGCGACGTGGCTGCAGCGGAAAGCTTTGTGCGGAATTAAGTCATTGGATAAGTCTCAACTCCGGTCCGGGGCCGTCACAAAGAATATTAGAGGATTGGTCACAGGGAGTTTATCCCTGAAATAAATTAATTAATTCAATTTAAAAACAAACATCTGACCAAACTAAAAATATTCTGGATTCAAAAACAGCAGTTTGTTGTCGTGCCGCTGTCAGAGAGGCGCGTGCATACATCAGTTGGTGACTACGTGCACGCACAATGTGGGTGTGAAGCTGCTGATTTCGGGGGCGTGCCGGCTTTTAATAAACCAATCGGCCTCCTGAAGGAGCCGCGGAGCCGACAGCAGTGGGAAAAGGACACGGATGAGACTGCGTTATGAATTATACAAGATAGCAACATTAATCTTGTGTGTGTGTGTGTGTGTGAGCTTTCCTCTCGTTGCTCAAATCGTGCAAGATAGGGGATGTCAACAACGCTCACATCCTTGCAGGGGGATTAAATCGAGATTGCATTATATTTGGTACGAGGGTCGATGCAACCAGGGAGTCTCAAAAATAAATATATCCATATTCTTTTTAACGTTTCCGGAAGGTGTACCTGCTGGCGGAGAGGGTGCAGTCGATGGCCGGTCGCTTGGTTTTGGGGATGTAGTAGAGCGGGGCGCGGTCGCCATGGCGAATCATCACTTGGACGGACAGCAGCTTGTAGTCAGCCGGACTGTGACCTGTCAGAGAAGACTCATAACGTTATGATGCCTAACTGTGTACGTGAAAGGTATCGCTCGTAGTGATGAGCGTAATAAATTATATGAGAATCTGGAATCATTCACCTTATTGTTTTTAACTTTACTGTCTTGGTTCTTGGCAGAAACAATTCAAAGTTAATGCTAATGACTGCTAATTGGTTAGCTGTAAAAAGCTGTTAGCCTGTAGTATGTAAGTAGCATGTAAGTAGCATGCAGTATGTAAGTAGCATGCAGTATGTAAGTAGCCTGTAGCATGTAAGTAGCCTGTAGCATGCAAGTAGCCTGTAGCATGCAAGTAGCCTGCAGCATGCAAGTAGCCTGCAGCATGCAAGTAGCCTGCAGCATGCAAGTAGCCTGCAGTACGCAAGTAGCCTGCAGTACGTAAGTAGCCTGCAGTACGTAAGTAGCCTGTAGTACGTAAGTAGCCTGCAGTACGTAAGTAGCCTGTAGTATGTAAGTAGCCTGTAGCATGTAAGTAGCCTGTAGCATGTAAGTAGCATGTAGTATGTAAGTAGCATGTAGTATGTAAGTAGCATGTAGTATGTAAGTAGCATGTCATGTATCGCCATGGCCTGGTTCTATAAAACTGAACCATTCAGTGGGGAAAAGTGCTCAACTTAGGAGCTCGGCCAGAGAAATAATGATTTAGCAAATCAAACAAATCCACAGCAGCAGCACGAGGAACTAATCCTGTGATTGTGCAAAGAATGGACTGTGGACTGTGAGTGTTTAACAGCAACCCGAGAACAGAAACAGGGACACTTTGAAAACGTTGTGACGCCTGAACAACAAACTGGTTCCCGATTGGATTTTCGATAACTTCTAATCTAAAAGACGAGATGAACCGAGTAAGATTCAATCAGCGTCTCGGGTGGGTGAAGGATGACTGGGCGGTTGGCTCTCACCCTCCCAGGCCTGCTCGGTGCGGTTGGGGGTGTTGCAGTAGCTGTAGGCCTCCAATATGGGGTCGGGCTCCTCGGTGTGAGGCGCCGGGAAAACCCTCTTTCTGCTCTTCGCCGGGGCCGCCGCACCGCCTCCACCCGCCCGCTGGAAGGGCAGCTCCTCCAGCGTGGGAGCGACGGGGATCAGGTTCCCTGTGGGGAGAGAGAGGAACCAGAGTTGGGCGAGAGAGTATGGAAACAAATGTAAGAGAAGTTTCCTGTCAGAATGGAGTTTTTTCCACTCTTCTTTGATTGACAGCTGGTTCATCCAATCGCAACCCGGGTCACTTTCTTTCCAGACCCCTTTTCCTACAGTTTCAGACGACGACTTCTCGGATGGTTCTGGTTTCTCAAACTATGTGGCGCAGTAGAAGTAGAGTGGAGGCTGATGAGCTACTCGCAGGTATCTGGTCATAAAAGGTATTGAGTGAAATAGTTTAGATATATAATAGATGGTAGAATAAGGGAAGAAATCCCGTCCAAAAACTCTTCCTCTGGAGACATCAACATAATGCACAGCAATCCATATGATTGTTACTGTATATCAACTTATTGACGGCATGAAAGGTAAACTGAAAATGAAAGGTAAGATTTTCATTATTATTTTCACTTCATTTCAGTTAGCAACAAAGCGGTGAACCGACTGACTGAGCAACGCTGCTGACTATAATGTGTAATGTGAAGGGATCCGAAATCAGGAGAGATTTACAGGCAACAATTGCTAAACGGCACCAAGAAAAGCAAAAAAGGCCAACTGACTAAACGAGTGAAAGGGCTGCTGAAATAAAGACAAAAACAATTCAACTGTAGCTCATCTCCATGTCAACAGCTCTGTACCCAAAAACCCCTCAATGCTTCCAGTGCGTTGCCTGGACACCGATGACCTGTGACCCCCGGCCAAAATGCCCCAATGGGAGCTGAGGTGTTGTGGGAACTGGAAGGCCGAATTCACAAAGAGCCGACTCTGAAGGGGAAAGGAGCTGAACCCACCCGGCCCGACGGCGGGCCCCCTGTCGCCAGCATCGCCCGGCACAAAGAGCTCATGGTTTATCGTTGCTATGACAACACCTCCATTTAAAATCAGCCACACAAGTGTAGGTAAATAGCTACACGCCGTCTCTCTCCCGCCGCCTTGCATTCAGACAGTGGTCGCTTTTCCATTTCCTCTTATCAGCGAGACGTACAAATATCAATCAGCTGATGTTTGCTGTGTGCGTTGTGTTTTAACACAGTTTGAAGCAGCAGACATGAGGCCGAGTCCACTGTTACCTCCAGTGTTGGGGCGACAAAACAAGCAATCCAAAAATATATGAATATGACACTGGACAAATATGACGAGCATTTCTCCGTTTTCTTACATTTTACAGACAAAATTATAATCCACAGATGAGTCGCAATGACAAGTCAATTAGTCAGTCATGGATCCGTAACAGTTATTCAAGCAAACAATTAGGTTGTTGCAGCTTTTATATTCAAAAGACTTTTGAATATGTCAACGTGTGCAAACAGCACAACTACTTTTCCCTACTGAACTTCTGTGTACAAAACAACTTACCAATTAAATGATCATAAATGGTTGAGAGATTTATCAATGCTGAAAATAATATTCCTTGGCAGCCCCAAAACTGATTGCTTAATAAAACAGATTCTAACCTTGACCTCGACAAAAGGCAGTGTTCTTTTCAGCTTGTAAGAGAAGTTGATGAACAGCGGAGATCTTCATAAAACTCAACTTCTCAATCCTCGCTGGTCTCAAGTCAGACGCCGGTCTAAAAGCTGAAGTTCAATAAGCGGTGAAATCCTGGTGAAGACGTATGAAGTCTCCATTACAAAGCTCGTGGATTCCTCTGCATGAACTCACCGCTGAGGAGGAAGAGGAGAAGGTGTGCAGCGCCGGCGGAGACCATTTTCAGACGACTGCTCGGTCCGGGCAACGCAACACTGGAGCCCATTCATTCCACAACCTGTGCCCCCCCCCCCCCCCCCCACAGATTACACCGCCTTATACACTGCGCCGCCGCCCACTCCAAGCCAACCTCACACGCACACACCAGCCAAACGTTTTGGAGGCCAACGCAGCCACAGTCACCTACACAATGGGCTGTTGTGGAGCGCATTAACACACGCACACACACACACACACACAACACACACATGGCTGAACACTTATCGGACTGCTCTGTACTGGCACCACTGTAGTTACCAAAACCGAGGGGAGAAGATGACACTAATATTGACACAGGGTAGGTACTGTGTGTGTGAGGGGCGATGCAGCCGGTGACCGTTGCTCAGCCCATAAATCCTCTTTGTCATTTCATTTCAGAATTGTAAAGTCTTCAATAAAGAGCCAAAATGTCACAAAAGAGGAAAAGTCACAGGATCACCAATATAATGTCATTGGTTTAAAAGGCCGGCGGAAAACCCAATGACCTCAGGCCCGTTTCCAAGTCAGAACACGTCGGCCTCGTTCACAGATCAACGGTAATCTTACGTTTTACTGGGAACACAGAAAACACCGACGACGATCCGTGAGCATCTCGGGACACTTTCCAAGCAAAAAGTCCCTGAAATGTGCTTGTTTGCCGAGACATTGTCAACGCTATCATTTCATTGGATGATGTAGGTGTACGAGAGAAACAAAAACACAGGCAACCTACAATCACATCCTTCCTCCCTCATGTTCTCCCAGGACGTGTCCCCTCGCTGGCTGCGCCTGTCCTCCTTGGAGGTGGGGGTGGGGTTGCATGTATGTTTGTGTGTGAAGGAGATTTAGAAGTCTAATTCTATAGGGTTGCTCCCGAGCACCTTGAACACTTCCACCGCACTGAAGTTTCATTTCTCCCTTCGTGCTTCGTTCCCTCACCTGCTCCCACACCCTTGTTCCTCTAATCTCCCTCTAATAAGCACTTCCACTGCAGGAGAGCCCGTCTCCATAGACCCCAGCGCCAGTTTCCTTGCATTCACTGCGGGCTGGCGAGGATACATCGTCTCTAGACAATACCTACAGGAGACGCTGAACAATGACCCGATGGAGGGATGTGGGCGGGGGACACAATTATGTACAGCGAGGCAGATCTGATCTCCCGAGGGTGTTTCAGAGCATCAGGAGTGTACATCGGCTGGTGCTGGATATTAATAGGAAGAAAGCCTACAGAGGATTGAGCTTTGTTTTGGTATGAATGGGGTCTCTTTCAATGGGACCACGAAGAAAGGATGTGCAAAGCATGTGCAGCACAAACAAGCACGCAACGTCAACGGAATGGTCGGTTTCCCCTTTCAAATGTAAACGCCGAGCCGAGAGAATGACCATGTTTGGAAGTCAGGCCGAGCCAAAGCGGGGCACTTACAGAACTGCAGGCTCAGGCTGATGATGGCCAGCGCCGCCCCGCCCACCAGCACCAGGAGGAGGAAGCGGTTGCGAGCCAGCATCTCGTCGTGCGATTGGTCCTCGTCCCTGACGGTCAGCCATCCAGATCGCGGCCCATCCCTGCAGGCTGGACACAAACAGTTAGTGAGCTCACACAGCAACGACTGGGTTAGGTGACTAAATGACGCCAAGTGCTAAAATAGTAAGTAGTAAAGAGAACCGAAACGGGTCATACGTTCAGTATATTACTTTTTAATCACAATGAATGAAAACTACCATTAGATTCCCAGTGTCACGTGTGCAGCATCGTAAACAGCCTGGATGCTTTTTCCACGATTAAAGAAAACAGCAGTTATTTATTTCCGTGCAAACTGCGATCAGGGACACGAGGGAAGGAGAAGACTCAAAAAGTGCAGTAAATGTGGCCTCACAATCCAAACCCTATGATTAGGAGCTCTAAAAATACGCGCAGACGATGCTTCACCGCCTCCACATCCCGCCCGGTGCCTTGACGCACAGATACCGATTACAAACATATGAACACGTCACACGAACATATAAACAAAACGAAAACACGTAATCGAGCGAAGTAAAGACTTATACACACACACCTGCCACGTGACGAGTTACGGTTAAGGAGACCGGCTGGTCCCGTTTTTTGTATTTAACATCACGCTATTTTTTTTCCACGTTATTGTCGCGCCGCAAACGCCGGGTCTTTAGCGGGAACGTTCATTCACCGAAAAACACGCAGTCGTCGGGCGAGCGAAGCGACGCCCCGCTGAGCTCCGCGCCACCGGAGGAAAAGTGCCTTAAGTGACGTTAATTTGGCTAACAGTTAGCTACCGCTAGCTACTTAACGTAACGTTCTTTGACCTCGTCCGTTAGCCGAAGGGAGACACCGGGACTAAAGGGACTTCTGCTCACTTCCATTCGTTATCTGTGCGGACTTGTTGCGTGTGTCGCGTGCGCATTGGCGTGCGCTAATGCGTGCGCGTCAATCTGCTGTGCCGCCCCCCCCCCGCCCCCCTGAACGGGCGACCAGCCGGCTCGAGGTATTTAAAACAAACAACAACCGAACCGACGACCGCCGAGAGACGCGCGAGCAAACACCGCGCGCGCGTCTCCTAAAGTAAGAGCACATCGCGCCCCCGAAGACCCCCAAACCACGACCACCCCTCCGCTTACCTGCGGGAACCGAGAGGCGGAGGACCGACGTTTAAAATACTTGAATCCACCGCTTCGGTTTCTCCGACTGCCGCGACGGAGACCCGGCGTCAAGCCGCTTGTCGTGGAGACGCAAGCGCCACTTCCGGTGGCTGCCTTTCAAAATAAGTTCGCCACGATCTTGTGGCTGAGACATGAAAACGCGATACTTTTGTGTCACAACGGAATATATACGATTGATATATTTATTTATGTGAGTGTATATTTGACTCACATTCATTGTCTTGTAAGGTTTCATATGGAATTTGACAGCTGTTACGTTGCTCTCACCGTACCCACAAATAAATGGACAAAACAATGAAGGATACATACATATATACATACATTGATCCCTAGATAATGTTTTTTGTTGCTGCTATTTACATTCTTTATGGTGCAAATTAAAAAATGCACTACATGAATGCTATTTACATTCTTTATGGTGCAAATTTAAAAATGCACTACAGGGATGTGCTTCTGTTTTATTTGTTTTGTTTGTCATGCGTTTGTTGTGTTGCAGATGGGATGAAAATGAATTGCGTTGGGCTGCCTTGCGCGTTGCATAATGACATTTTTCCTTGAGTCCTTCAATCCTAATCCATATGTAATAAGCAAAGTTTTGCAGTTCTTTCATGTTGCAGCCACAGGGTTGAAGCTCACAGGATGAACTCATCTGGGATGTAGTCAAATTTGCAATCATGCAAAGCACAGTATATCAACAGATCCCATCCATTGCATCAGTGGCCACATTTTGTCTTCAGAACAATGTCATTAGACGTTACTAATTCTTCTTTTATTTTGAAAACATCACGTGTTCGCACTCTTTCTCCGTATCTTGACGCACGTGGGAGAAAAGCGAGGCTGCGTCGTGGCGCGTTCAGAATCCCGACCTCACTGCCCCATCTGCTGGACCTGCCAGCGCAGCGCACATGCTGCCTTCACGGCCTCCACCAGTGGTGCGTTCAAGTGCAGACGACGACGAACGAGACCAATAACCCCGTTTACAAAAATATCACAGTTACATGGAGAGAATAGAAATATTAAAATGTATAATGTGTGTACGAATAACAAGTAAGTTGAGACGGACAAGTTTGTTATTAAAGTGAGTATTACATATATGTATACGTCACATGTTTCAGTAAACTTGCTTGGTTATTTTAGTTTTTTGCTAATAAAAATATATATATAACAATAAAAAATAAACTATTATTATTTTTATTTTTTTTAAAGAGTCTTACTCTAGCTCGGTGGGGGAAAAGGCACCATAGTTTGTTTAAAAGAAAGAAAGTTCATGGTTGGTTAAGAAAAACCTCCTTCAAAAATGATATCCCACATTCAGACTTTTTAAATACTATGAGGAGCTTAAAATGTTTCAGTATTATTTGGAATTATTAAGATAGACCAACAGAACAACGCAGGTCCACAGGAAGCTGATACTTGTACGTCGGTCATATCTTGACTGCTTGTGTTATAATTTGTCTTTTGTTCTTTTTAATGATTTCTGATCACCAGCAGAAGGAATTTGGTGTGACTGTAAAACAAAATGGAAGAAAACCAAAAACACTCTTTTGGTGGTTTTGATATCTTTGCCAGAGCCCCAGTTTTCAGTATGCTAAGCTAACCGTCTGCTAACCCTACCGACATATAATGGAGAGGGAGGCTGTGATTGTTCATCAAACTCTCTGCCGGAGTGTGTTAGGATATTAGAAATATCAATATTGAACTCTAATACAATTTGGCTTCGTAGAATAAATTCCAGCAACGGTTTATTGTTCGTTAAACATACGAGGAATTTGGCCTGGTGACAGTAAACGTCGTGCCGCGCTAAAAGATGCAAGTTAAAAATAGAAAATATGGAAATCTACAGTAAAACATCATATCGATATGATAGTGCTTTTTAATGCATGTGACAAGTCACCGGACTTCTGGCTCGCGGGGTGATTCTCTCTTCGAAGGCATCGCGTGGCCCCACGTTGGCCCCCATGTGGCGTCGGCGGAGCAAGACGTGGCCTCAGTCGGTGATTATCGGTGATCGAATCAGGCGTCTCACGGGAAGCCCTCGAGCCTTGAGGGGATCATTGTCCATCGCCCCTCCCTCTCCTGCCTGCAGTAATTTCTGAAGGTACGGCGGTCATATGAGCCCAGCTGCCGAACGTGCAACCACTTAACTCGTCTCTTTTTCCTTTAATTACCCTCCACTCCGCACCAATGGAAGTCATGGGATCCCAACCCATGTCATGTCTCTGGTCGATTGGGAATGGCATGCATGTGTGTGCGTGTGTGTGTGTGTGTTTGTGTGCATGTTGAAGACTATAGCTGATAATGTAAATGATTATAAGATAATGTAATATGTAATATTGCTTCTTGCTAAACTAAATTGTAAGTTGCCATTCAGTGCTAAATATGTGATGATGTAATTTTGAGAGAATCCAAATAATGCTCGGCAGCCTTGTGTGTGTGTGTGTGTGTGTGTGTTGACATCATGAGATTTGCATCAATACTATCAGCCTGCGGACTCTGCATGCCTCGGCTCTTTTTCCCCTCAGTCACGAGTTTCGTCGCTGCACATGAACGGGCGTGATTGTCCAACCTAACATTTCCTACCTGAAAACTGTAGAGTGCGTGAAGGTAAAGTTTTTAAACCCGAGGAGAGAACGAAGTCAGTGCAAAGTGAGGGTGGGCACACGTAAGCAAAGGGCCGGTATCTCTGTAATCAGCGAGGGCCCCGCTCACGTGTCGCCGCCATCAACCCTTCAGCCAGGACACCGGTCAAAGTTCAACTCATTCTTCCACTAGTGCACATAAAAGGTTGTTCCTCCTCGCAAGCAAACCAGCGATTTCGTGACTGCAGAACGACATATAATCCCTTTCAAATAACAAGCCTGCATTAACACTACATAACACATGGTAAGAGCTCGGAATGAAGGAGACGATTGTTTTATTGACAAAATAAAGAGGCCGGTGGCCCAGACGGTGATTTTAAAAGAGTGTAAAGAGTCTGGTTTAACATCCCTTACCTTAAGTGTGGCACATTTTGCCATACGTGCGATTACAAATCGATCAAAACAATAATAACCGGTGTTTGTTGGAATCAGGCCCCAGCGGTCTCCTCATAGCGCCACATGTGGAACTTGCCGGGGATTACTTCCTCACCGAGGGATTCCCTGGATCAATTCCCTTTATAAGGGAGCACCCTAATATGGTCGGCTTGAGGGAAACCTCCACACTGGACTCAAAGGGACGGCACCTTGTCAGCTGTGTTCACCGGCTCACATGAACAGCTGCAGCAGACTCGCTTTGTTATTCTTATTTTGAAGCCCGCTGAATTTGCGTTATTTCGTTCCAAGAAGGTACAAATGTGAGTAAACGTGTTAATAATGCAAATCGTACAGTCACACAAGAAAAGCGGTTATCTCTGTCTAACAGTAATAGGTCAAGCGTGCTAACATTAGCCACGAGCAATGTTGTTAAGCAGTCACATAAAAAACAAACAAAAGAACAGAAAAGTACAGCATGTCAACTCGGTGCAGAACAAATTCTCACCGCCGTTCTGTTTGTGCTCAGAGGCCACCTGAAAAGACCCAGAAGGAATGTTTGCTTTCAAAGTTCAAAATAACAATTTTTTATTTGACTTTTTTTTTCCCAGACGGGCCGGCGTGGAAGACACCGAGGTGTCGGCCAGAACAGACACCGAGCAAAACAAACCGTCAACTTTTGCAAAGAGACGGCCACCGCTCACGGGTCCTGTGTTGCCATTTCTCTCACAAATATAGCAATTGGTAACAGTTAGTGAAATAGATTTTGGTGGGAGCCATTTTGCAATGTGAAACATGATGGACGCGTCCGAACCTTCCTTCCTGTTTGGAAATGCTCAACGTGGTGCACTTCTCTGAGATTTTCCGACAAAGAACCCGGCTGTGGTCGCAGGCCCGGTTATGTAACTGTGGTAATAAGCACCCGCACAGACGGAATCACGGCTTAACCACCTAACTGCGTTGGTTAGAGCATTAGAGCAGCGGTTGGGGGTTTAGGAATTAAGCAGAGGATATTGACCGGACTGGCTCATCAGTGGTTTGCATGCAATCAATAGAGATATTCCACGGTAGTTATAAAGTTGTTGTTCTGGGTTTTACCACTTACTTAGTTTGGCTTTTTATAACATTTCAATGAAGATTCATGTGCATGTTAATCTATGATAAAGTAGATGTGATAGTACTTTATATTAGCAAGGAAGCCGATTTTCCTGTGGTCGTGTAGACTGTAGCTATAACGTGATTACATATACTGTGGCACATGATCCGGCCAGGCCAAACTGCATTTCTTATTATGGAATTAAGTGGCGTATGGATTTTATTCTGCTGCCCAAATTGGAAAACCTAATTTTCGGTGCGTCTCTCGTCTAAATTCAACTCTCTTCAACCACACACACACACACACACACGCATATAATTCCCCATACACAAAGAAGCTCTGTACAAGATATTTTGGCCAAATACACCAAACATATTGAGGTGAAATTAGTCTGTGGTTTTCAAAAAAAGATGTTTCCCGGTGTCTAAATTCATCATGTCAAACATTTCAAACACAAGTGTGGGCGTTATTTCAATCTTCCCTTTCTTTTAGAAATGTTGTCCAGTAGTGTTGCACAACAAGGGAGAGGCCAGTGCAAAAAGACATTCGTGCCACATAGATCAAACTCTGGGAATATTTACAGTAGTTCTGCAAATGGGCCACGTGACATGCGCAAACTGGTTTTGACCCAATTGAAAATCGGCCTAATAGGAATGCTGATTGGTGAGTTATACTCAGCCTCTATTTCGCTCTATATTTATATCGCGACCTGAAGTCCCACCTGTTGCTCCGCTGTAGCGTCTAATTCAATCTTACAATCACTCCAATTTACTCCCGCCGAGATCCCCAGTGATTATCCAGCCCCTCCAAAATAAAAGCCGCATCACGTGAAAGAGTAGTGACGGGGCGGGGCCCCGCGGGGCCTCAGCCAATCACCGCCACTGTTTGGCGGCTTCCCATTCGACGATAAACATTACGACTCGGCGGCAGGAGCTCCCAGAGTGAGGCAAGCGCGTCAACGTGACCGACGTTCGGGGGGGACAGAGCGGCGCAACACGGATTGAGAGCCGAGGGGTTGGATTTTATAACCACCGACACTGGACGCGGCGCTCCGCCGACAAGCATCGCCCCGTTTCGGGACAAAGGGGCAAACGTGACGCCCTGACAATTGTCTTCTAGCACCGGAAACCCGTTAGCTTTCTCTGCTAACGCACGTTAGCTAACCTAGCTGTTACATACCCCCGCAACTGACCTCCACCACAACACAGGCTCACCGTGTATCATCTGTTTTGCTAGTTTTCTTTTTTTTGTGGTGTGTGTGTGTGTGTGTGTGTGTGTGTGTGTGTGTGTGTGTGTGTGTGTGTGTGTGTGTGGAGAGGACCGGGGGGGGGTCACTATTCTCCCGTGTCTTCACGTCCGCTGTCCCACACCCCCACGCGTGTGGCGCCCCCGTGGACGTCCCCGAAATATGAGACACATTGAGTTCAAGAGGACCCTTGTGTTTATCTTTTTCCCGGGAGGCTTGATTACCCTTTACACCCCAGCGACTTAACTTTTAGTTTAGCCCACCCGCAGGGGGGCAAGCTTACCGTTTTTAGCCAGAACCAGCCCCCCCCCCCCCTTTCCAGTGTGTTTGCCTTCATGCTAAGGAAGGGGGGGGGGGGGTTGTTTGTTTAGTGGCATTTTGTCAAAACCGTACTACTTGTCACCAGTGTGTCGTACGGTTACGGTTAAACTCGCCGCGGGGGGGTTGTGCTCAATGTCACCGGTCAGACGATGACAGCGTGTGACTGTTGTGGGTCTCCGTGAATCGGCCGTAACGCGACAATCAAAAAAGCCAACACGTGATCCCGCCGCACACTTGAAGGTCGATGGGAATAAACGGATGCACCTTTATTCTGTCATCACGCAGCCTCGCGTAGTGCGTCGAAAAGGCGTTTTTTTTTTTCGTAGAATCGGTCCCTGTCGCCTGCGGCGGACCACCGCGAGAATGAGTCCAGACACGACGCGGGCCCGAGTTGTTGCCTCTGAGGGGGGAACGAACGCTTCACCGCGGTCAAGCCGGCGCGCACGTTATTTCGCGCTGCGCGAGTTAACAGGAGATTCAGCGGTAACGCGTAAGAACTGACTTCAAAATAAGAGCTCTTTAATGAACGTTTCAAACTCATTCAATAAGTCTGTAAATACTATATAAATGTGCTGATACATTAACAAACAGGGAATGGATACTATAATATATATATAAATATATATATTACATGGAAAACGGTCTGTAAATGATCATGTGATTTCAATTGTATAATTACTTACTCATATACATTTTATAAATAATTTACACAGAACAGAAAATATCAATTCTTATTCGTATGTAGCATTTAAAACGTAAGGCTCTTCAAAATGTTGTACATGAGCCAACTTCTGGTCAATTTCAAATTTACATATCATTCAGGGGCCCCACTGACTGAAAGCCAGGGGCATTTTATAAGAAATTGGGGGCTTTGTTTGAAACTTGTGAAATGACGTCTAACCTTTGTTAAAAGTCATAAGTATACATATTTACTTCCGGTTTATGGATTTGTCATCAAATGGCAGAAATAATACTATTGGGCAGTAGTCTACAGATTCAAACGTTTCCTTCGATTGTTTTCAGACTCATTCAATTTTATTTTCATTTCTTTGTAGTTGCTCATGTTAACCAATTTGGGAAGCAATGTCAGCAGCTTGACCATTCTGCAGAACGCGGTCTTTGCATCCGATTCACAGCTTCCACAGTTGGCTCTCTGTTATTGAGCTGATTACTCCATGCTTCTGTAAAAACAAAGAAGAAAACATTTAAACCTTGAAACCCCCAGTCAACAACTAATTGTATTTTACCCAAAAAGAGGCTTGGCTGCAGTTACTAATGAGGAGATGAAACCTCTCTCACTGACTGCACGCTGTCTAACGTTAGCTAGCTAGCCTTTGTAGCTAACGTTAGTCAAATAGCTAATCCGAGCTAGCTAAAGTTCGCGAACTAAATCATTTCAAGATAATTAATTCTTAGCTATCACTCTCCCGCACACACAGGTCTGATCACGAAGCTGCTTTTCTCTTTTTTAAGGACGTTTGATTCTTCCTTTACCTTTTTGGTCACATCAGTCACGGCGGGAATCAAAAACATTCAATGGCAGCTGGACCGGGTTATTGCGCCTACGATGCTTTTGACAAGTTAACTAAATTGTAATTATTGTTAGAGAAAATTATGGGGGTATTTTTTTTTCCCCTCTCCCAGTGATGTCGGGGGCAAAATTATATTTATTTGGGGCAATTTTGCCCTTTGCCCTCGTGTATTTCCGACGCTGCTTCAGGCCGATAGCAGACGACCTCAAGGTGTCACTCGGTGATAACCAGGACACTCTGATGTAGCATTTCAACGTTCAAGCCTCTGAAAATGTCATACATGGGCCAACTTCTAATCAGTTTCAGACGGCATTTAAAAGGAAACTATTAATAGTTACATAATAATTCCACTTCAGGCCGATAGCAGACGACCTCAAGGTGTCACTCGGTGATAACCAGGACATTCTGCATTTCAAAATGAAAATGTCATTTGTGAGCCAACTTCTGGTCGAGTCTGACTGGCTGGCTTGACTGCAGTGGTTGTTCTAGAATGTGTTAGAAACAAGAATTCCAGCTGAATAAAACGTCTTTTTAGTGTGAACGTGCCTGTGCAGCTTTTCAGATTCGTCAAGCTGGCACCTGAGGCAGTTTAAATGTGACTCCCGTTCTTTGTCTCTCTTCCTTTTGATGTCCTCCGGCCTCCACCTTCCCCGTCCCGCCCCGTCACATTCCACTTTCATTTAATCTGTCCCACGCAGCGGGTTCCCTCCTGTCCGTTCCCTCAGCAGGTGTCACCTGAGAGGTGCCTGAAATACCTGATTTGGTCAACAAACGATTGTTTGCACGGGACGTCGCGAGTTGTGCCGCCGGCGCGTGGTTTTGGTTTTATAATGACGTAGGTGTGGACAATGGCAGGCCCTGCTCTAAAGAGGTATTTGCTCCTAACATACGATCCCTATTTGCCGTGTACATGTGTGATTTTTGGGAATGTGACGCATCACAGAACAGAAGCCCGTTGTTATTCTCCCCCCCCCCCCTCCGAGAAACCCAACGCGTTCCCGCCCGGCTCCCGCGCTGCCTGCCCCGTCTGCATGCCGGGGATCCTCCGCATTCCACCCGAGCACATCGTTAGCGGAGCCCTTTGTGCGAGGCCATTGTCGCCTTTTTCGCACCTACGCGCGCAAGTCTCGTTAAGTCAGCTGACGCTCGTTTGCTGCGTTGCTCGTTTGTCACATCCGCGTTTTTGACATTTTTTGTTTCCTCCCCATCTCTCGCCTCTCTGCCAGATGTGGGGGCACGGTGGGAGCCATATTGACGTGTCCGCTGGAAGTAGTGAAGACCCGTCTGCAGTCCTCCTCCATCACCCTCTACGTGTCTGAGGTGCAGCTCAGTACGGTCAACGGGGCCAGCGTGGCCCGCATGTCCCCCCCGGGGCCCCTGCACTTCCTCAAGTGGGTATTCAACAGCTTCACTAATCAGACCTCATACCGACTCTGAATCCATCAAGATGAGTAAACACAATCACCTGCATGTTGAGGTTTAAGATGCTTCTAAGCTAGCAGCAGGGGGGGTTGTGAGATTTCTGTTGGCTTTTAGTGAGCCGTCATGCCGCTGCACGCACCCCCTACGGCTTAGTGCAAACTCTCCTGAATGCGTTGGCTGCGGTCCAGAGAAGGAAAGCAATGCAGCCCACTGTACGCTGCCCGTATCGCACCACAGAGCGCAGGAAGCCGCCGAGTTTGGACAAAGAGGCTCATTTAGTCCCGTTTGTACATTCGCAGAAATGGAGCACAACAAGAAAGGCAACGCAGGACTCCGTTTGTACCAATGTGAAAGTGCGACAAACGCATTTCAAATCGATAATTGCGATGACCGATTGTGATCAGGTCAGTGGAACACCTGCTGCTTCCAATTTAACCACGTATTACCACAAAAATAAGTAGATTAAATAATAGCCCAGATCTCTCTCTCTCTCTCTCTCTCCCGCGCGTTCTGTGCATAGTGGTTTAAATGACTATAAACAAATGCGGAGTGCTGATCACGAGTTTTGTGAAAGCAATTATTTAAGGTCGCGATTCTTGTCCCAAATATGGCCGTCTTCATTCAGTGAACAAATATTCTCAACATTAATTGTTACGTTTTACCGTACCGCCGTTGAGCGCTCCGAGCGAGCTGTGCTGGTGAACATGGAACTCTTCCTGGGGCATGAAGCGGCAAATAATCAAACCAGTGCATAAAGCTGTCTATTTCATTCATGCAATATACAGTCAGTACAGTCAGGCGTGCGCCCACCCGCTAAGCAGACAGTCGCTGCGCTACTGAGGTTTTTTTTTTTTTTTTTACACTTGAATATTAATTTTGACATTCGAATAGATGTTTTTAACAAACATCCATATTTGAATTTAGCATATTCGTTGACAGCCCTATTCCACACCGCGTTGCCTGAAGTTGAGCCTCGGTGAACATTGACAGCTCGTTGGGATTATCGGCCTCCTGTGCCCATAATGAGCGGAGCTGTTTGGAGCTCACGGCTCCTCCGGCCCGCAGAGCCGCGGTTCCTCCCTCAGCAGGCACCATGTTGTTGTTGTTGGCCTCCTCCTTTTTTTCCCCGTGCACCTGTTTCAGTAACGTTTTTGCATTCGGTTAGAACGCCCCATACGCGAGGAGGAGAACGTGCCCCGGCTGCTCTAAGCCCGCGGGGAAAAGCAGCTCAAATTCACCCAACTCACTCGCATAATGAGACTTTGTTCTGCAGACCGGCAGCATCAAGATTTCTGGATCGCTGCGACTGCGAGTGCCAGAAGGCCCAGCGGTGACGTACGGCCTTTTCATTTATTAGCTTCATCAGAGGATTACGCAGACGAGACGCCTCCAGCCAACCTGTGGTGGCGCCGTAACTCTACTGAGGCGCAACGAAGGACTCGCGGCTTGACCTCGCTCAGGTGTTGCAGGTTTCGCTCTGCGAGGCTGGAGGACAAACGTGGACTGAAACGCAGAGTCCGGCAGCTTTAACTGTCAATGTAATGTAATATTGTGTTGACGTTGGAATGTAAATGTGTGCGTCCCACAGCCATCTAGTGCTTAATACACACCATGGTATGATCGCGCTATAAAGGGGTAAACAACTGGCAATTTTTCTATTCTTAGATCCCCACCAGTTTTAAGGCTTTGAATGTAGGCTAAAGGTCCCCCCCCCCCCCTTCTCCCCAAAGCAGAAGAACAGGAAAGGCCAGGGCTTCTCTTCGTAATCTCAGGGATGAACCTGTTGGAGGAATATGTTCCGTAGATGTCATGGCGACCTGCACATGAAATGTTATGATAGAATATTAAATTCACACGTCGGCGCTAGAAGAAAAATCAGGGAAGGTGAAGTTGTCCCTTTTTTAGATGTTTTTCTTGTTTACAGTCTAAGTGGTAAAACCCCTTGTTTGAGTTTGAAGTCTCACAAAAGAAGAAGAGGAGCAGCAGCAGCAGCCGTGTATCACAACACGAACCCAAAGGAAACGTTAGCGGCGCAGTCGCAGCACAGGAGAAGCGTCTGTAAGGAAGCTCATCGCTGCGTGTGTGTGTTTCTGCATTCAGGTTGATCTTGGAGAAGGAGGGACCTCGCTCCCTCTTCAGGGGCCTGGGGCCGACCTTGGTGGGCGTGGCGCCTTCCAGGTGAGATAACCGCTGTTCCTTTTAACTGTCGTCATCGTCTTCTTGGAGACACGTCCTTCTTTCGAGTATCTATTTGAAGGCTGTTATTAAATGACAAGTTCAATAAACGCTTAGTCATCAGTTTGTTTCGTAATTGTTTCCTGTTGATTATTTAAGAAAAAGTTGGGCTTGAACTTGGGCCTGTTTAGTGCTGTATCCTCCGTTATTCTGCATGTATTTCCCTTCCACTCGAGCCCGGTTCTCCACACGTATCGTGACTTTTGAATGTTCAGATTTGTGTTTTCGTTTAAAAGGAATAACTTTAACCAGTGGGAGGAAAGCCAGCGGCTTCTGGTCTGCGCTGTTTCTCACGGTTCGCGTTGCGGACCGTACGAAATCAAGCGTCCTTAAACTGATTTGGTAGTTGGAGGAAAATCCAAGACCTAAAATACCCCCCAGCACGCCGTGAACTCTGCAGGGTCCACAACTGGAACTGCTTTATTGAGACGTCCTGTTTTCCCTCAACACCACCCCCACCCCGTGCCGTTCTGTCTGCGGCTGATCCAGTGAATTATGGCGGCGTTGCGTCTCCGCCTCAGGGCTCCGTGAGGTTCCCTGGTGACCACGGCGAAGGGAACGCACACGCACACTTAGGCCTCGTTTGTCTTCACGGCCGTGCTTAGAAGACGCTTAAAGGCTGTAGTTAGTGTAACGAGTCCTGATCATTAAACAGGAGTGGGGGGGGCTAATGGCAGTGGGGGGGGCGGTGCCGAGTACACGCAGAGTGTTTTGTTGTTACGGGACAGTGTGCCGATGGAGGCCGGCGGAGCAGTGACGCAGACGTGCTGTGGGGGGGGGCGCGCTGTGTCCAGATATGAACATTCGTTATTTTTTATTGTGAGAATAGTGAAAGGGGGGCTGTTAATTCTCAATGGCCCCTTTGTGGTTTCTTGCGTCCTAAATGAGTCTTCTTTAAGCTCATTGAGCTCACTTTTTAAAAACGCGACACTCACCGTTGTCGTTGTCCCGTTGGCTTCCCACAGAGCGATCTACTTCGCTGCCTACTCCACCGCCAAGGAGAAGCTGAACGGCGTGCTGGAGCCCGACTCCACACAGGTCCACATGGTGTCGGCAGGAATGGCAGGTAACTACACCTGGCTCCCCTGTGACGGGGCGCTTGTGGCCGGCACAGGCCGCAAGGAGGGAACCGGTTTGTACTGGTTGTCTTTCCACAGGAGAAGTACACCTTGAATGTTGAGCCTTTCTTCAGATCCCTGCCGACCACAGCTGTACGTGTTAACTTGAATCAAAATAATTAGGGCAAAGCAATCGACTTAAACTGAAATGAAAAGGCCCGGCAGGTGAGGAGTTGACAGGTGGAGGACGGAGTTCTAGGAATTGTGCCCGTTTGTTCTCCGCAGTCAGGAGGAGAGCTGTAAAATAAACACACCCATAATTATTTTTATAAGTGTTCTTGACTCTACATGTTAAGAGCTGGAACATTGTTTTCACTGTAAAAAAAGTTTTACAGTAACTAACCGTCGAATAGAAAGTACAACATTGGAACTCTGATGACCGTTGAAGTATAAATGTTAAGGTTTTTCATGTTAGAATTTTTTTACAGCTCAAGTTTAATTCAGTTGCGTTGTTGAATCCAACCAACAACATTTCATCTCAGGTTTAGTTGTCGGGCGGACTGTTACCACTGGAAACTTCACTATATCTTTTTAAAAATGTATTTTTTTTTCATTATTTTTTTTCCTCCCCAGGTTTTACAGCCATCACGGCAACCAATCCAATATGGCTGATAAAAACCCGTCTCCAGCTGGATGCGAGGTAACCATGACGCCCACGAGAGAGCTCAGCAATGTCCATTGTCCCCAGAGACGGAGTAACTGTTGTAATGAGCCAGAATTCTTGGAGTCATTTTCAAAGAGTCTCATTGACTTCTACACAACTGGACGTCTTTTCCCTGCTGATCGATGCCGTCTTGCGCGTTCTGTCCTCCGAGCGCACACACGCTTCGTCTGCGGGGCCCGTTTGCTCGACTTTGAAAGACGTCTTCTTCTTCTTTCCCTCAGGAATCGAGGCGAGCAGCAGATGAGCGCGTTCGAGTGCGTGCGGCGGGTGTATCGGTCGGAGGGCCTGCGGGGCTTCTACCGGGGAATGTCTGCATCCTACGCCGGCATCTCAGAGACTGTGATCCACTTTGTGATCTATGAAAACATCAAGCGGCGCCTCCTGGAGGCCAAGGCGCCGCCCAACATGGACGAGGAGGAGGAGACGTCCAAAAACGCTTCGGACTTTGTTGGGATGATGCTCGCCGCCGCCACCTCCAAGACCTGTGCCACTACTATCGCGTATCCTCATGGTAAGAGTTGATCAGGAGGGCCTCTGGTAGAGAGGATGAGAAGCTGTTGTTGCTAAGCCCCGCCCTAAAGCGTCCGCTGCTCCGTGGTCTGTTTGACTCCAAATGGACCTTGATTAACTAAATGAACATCATGCTGTATTGAAGAAGACTTGAACTCACGTTTACAATGTTTACTGAGGAATAAATCAACAGCGAAGTAGTCATTTTCCCACCGACCTCTATGGGACCCGATGAGTCGCCCCCTGGTGGTCAGGATAAAGAATGCCGCTTTACCACATGAATGTTCACGTGTTAAATGTTGTAATTTGCTAAACCCACCTAGTTTTAATTGTTAACCCGTCTCTTTCCCGCGTTGCTTTGCAGAGGTGATCCGCACCCGGCTACGCGAGGTGGGCACCAAGTACAACTCGTTCTTCCAGACTCTAACGACGGTGCCCCGGGAGGAGGGCTACCGCGCCCTGTACCGCGGCCTCACCACCCACCTGGTGCGCCAGATCCCCAACACCGCCATCATGATGTGCACCTACGAGCTGGTGGTCTACCTGCTGACTGGTTAAAAAGCCTGCCCATTGCCCCCTCCCCTCCCTGTCCTCCCTTATGTACACAGTGTGTGTAACCCTGATCCGCCCCCCCTTCCACTCGTCTGGAAAAAGGGGAGGAAAAATAAACGAGAGAGAGAGCGAGAGCCAACCGGTGGGCGCAGCCGCCTGCTCGCCAGAAGAGGACAAGGAATGGCGCCGTGACCTTTTCGTTCCTGCGGTTGTTAAAAATAAGTTCTGTTCTATAACCAAACGGGTCTGGCACGGTGAAGGGGGGGGGGGCGTCTGTCTCACCGGTTTGGGGTCTAGGGTTTGAACAGCGGCAAAAAAATGTGTTTCCCTATTTATAGGATTATTCCATCCTTCTACCCGCCCCCCCCCCCTCCTCCCGGTTATATACGGTGACAGAGTTCTGATATATTTTGCATCTAAAAATACTAATAATTAAAGATAAGGACAGCGATTCCAATCATTACTGCCGTAGTGGATATTAGACCCCGCCCCCAATCCTTACCTGGGTAACGTCTATTAGCACCACGCCGTGTTCCCTGCAGCCATCAGAGGAGCAGAAAGCCAAACGTTCTGACTGGGGGGGGGTGGAAGAGTGCCTTGGGTGTGGAAAACGAGCGGTAGAAGCACAGCGGGCGTAGGAAGGGGGCGGAGCTCCCGTCGAGCTGCACAGGCTCTGGAGGCGGAGCGTCGGGGAGCCTTTGCACGCCGTCGCTCACCTCAGAGGTCGTTTGCGTCCTGAAATGGCAACGAGAAAGCAGAAATGCTCCCGAGGAGTCCGTGTTAATGACGTCAAGAGGAGCGCTCACTTAGACGACTGGACCGGCCCCCCCAGACTAAACCAAAATGTGTCATTTGAGCTACTGGACTGTAAGTAAAAATAAATGTGATAAACCCGATTTGAACAGAGCTGTAAACACGTGTTGCATTCGCGTGTCCTGAGATGGCCAGATGCAAACCGCTGGTTCAGGAGGAGATTCACCGGTTTGATGCTGAAATAGCGGCGCTGTTCTCGTAGCCGCCGTCTCCACGCTCATCTCGTGGTGTTTGTTTGTAGTCGGCGCGGAGGACGCGGTCAGCAATGCGCTCGTCATGCAAGTGCAGACGTGGTGGCAAAAACAAACCGGGACTATTTGGTTGGTTTACTCTGCATATTCTGTTGGTTTTGAAAACCCATCAACTGCGTTATAGTTTAAAGAAAAAAACTTTGTCAGTGTTTTACGTTCTTTTGGAAAGGTACTTGCGCTGCTTTTTTATTTTTTCCAGGTTTCACCTCCATCTTCTTTTTTTAATCGTTGCCTTTTCCTGCCGCCTGTATGTTCCCCTCCACCTTGGGTAGTTGATGAGCGCCCCTGGGTGGGGGGGTCGCTCAGGCCTATGCATTCTCTCATACCTGTTTTTGTAAAAACAGGACATCCAATAAGATGGATTCAGTGTATTCAAGTGTCGGGTTCTCTCACTGGGAAGTTGTCGTTTTCGCAGTCAGTCCCGACCTTCTTATGAAACTTCTCACAACTGAGATTAAAAACTTAATTCCTCACATCGTGTGCATTTCTTGTTACTTTCACACAAACTTCAACCAACAAAGTGTCAATGTTTTTCTTTCTTTCTAACCCTTCATGTGTTTGTGGTGGAAACTGGTTTCCATAAAATAGGATCTTCAAAAATATTAAAGTAGATAATCAGTCCTCCATAGGTGGTTTAATTTTGGTGTGAATGGGTAAGAATTCCATAATTATCTTTGAGCATGTTTTAAATGCACAAGTGCAGTCCTCACAATAATACGATTGATCTTCCAACAGTTCCTGAAACATAAAGATTCCTTTTTTTACTGTGTGAATATAAACTACATTATTAATCAAATTTGCTCTCGAAAATAAATCAAGAGAGCAAACCGACGTATGGTCAAACTAACCGAAGATTTGCATGAACACGTGTATCCAAACACACACAAAACCGCTAATAAGATCAAATAACTAAATCAACGTTGTCTTTATGACTTTGGTCTGACGCTGGGGCGGCCTTGTCTTCATCAGTGATGAAGCTCCGTGGCATTATGTTGCTCTCGTTGAAGAAGTCCACGATGGACAAACTGAGAGCCGTGCCGCACCTCATGCTTCCAGAATCAGAACCGCTGCGTCCCTCCTGCAGCGGCTGGATGGAAGCAGATTCTCCACCAGGTGGAAGTGTTGACCTGCTTCGCTTCATCTCACACAAACACACACATCAGCTACAATGGAGCAGCCACGAAAAGGTCTGCTGCCGATTTTACTTCTCGAGCCCAAATATACACAGAAACCCTCCCAAGTGTTTGACTGTGCCATGAAATGAGCCGGGCGGCTTCTGTGGACGTTTTTGCCAACTAAAGCAGATCGTAAACTGATATGAAAGGATGCCAGATGAGCGATGGTGCAGCTGGAAAAATGAAAACACACGCTGACACAATCGCCTGTTTCACAGCTTCCTGGCCTGAACAACACCATCACATTATGACACGAGGTCCAGTCAGACAACAAGCATCCACGAGGGAGGGTCCTCCAACCAGACAGGAGCTCTGCAGCGTCCTCGGGGTGATGCGGGGGGCCTCCGGGTGTCGGTCGGGCCTTCACTCCTTAAACTGAGCACCGGGGACGAATTGTGAGGCGACAACGGCTGGTGGAGCCGTTGGTGACTGGCACCTCATACTTTTCATTTTCTTTGTTTACTTCTTTCTGTGTATTATAGATGTATATATAATAGATGTATTGCACTTGAAATGCAGTAATATAGATGTATTGATAATAATACGGTGCTTTGGTTCTGGGCAAAGCTGGCAGCAACTTTATTTCCCCTCAAAACACCTCTGCTGAACACTTATTCTGCTTCCCGCTCCTCCTTCACAATAAAAGCACCTACACCGGAACACTTGTGCAATAATAGCTTGCATTGACCTTATCAAAGTCAATGCAATTGACATATTAATCCATATGTCCTAGAATCAAAATTCCAGGACATATGGATTAATAAAAATAACAATACATTTGGGGTCAAACTGCTCAGCTCAAATCACATTTGCGCTAACGCTTAGCTTGTTGATTAAGCTATACTTCTAAACGCTAGAAGCGCTAAAACGCTAAAAGCTAATGTCTGAGCAGCAGAAGAAGAGGGGTTGTGAACTGACTTTGTAATGTCAGTGACACGCCGACTCTTTGCAACCATAAGTACTCCCACCAGTCAAAATCACCACAGTCTGTCCACGTTGTCTCATGCTAACATGCTAACCCGCGCGACTGGAAGCTCGCCCTCGTGTTTGGAGGCAACGCGTGGCTCTCAGTGCTGCATCAGAGCGTGAAACAGATTCCAGAACAGCTGCGCTCCACATTCACAAACTTCTCGCTCGTCCCCCGTCCCCGGCAGGTGCCGCGGTCCTCACCGTGGAAACCGGAGCCACCAGAGCTCATGGCGGACATGAGCGGGCCGCAGGCACACGCCACGCTGCGAGCGTGGATTAAGGAGAAGATGTGACCTCCCCAGCTCTTCTTTGGTTTCTTCTCCGAGGTTATATATTAAATGGTAGTTCCGTGACCAAAGGGATGCTTGAAGTCACCTGTACCAACTCATTTTTCTATCTATTTGGTGACTCTTTGATGCTTATGCTGCTCTCATGTCATAATCACGAGCTGTCGAGTGGAGACAAAAATGTGTCAGCCTGTAATTTTAATTCACAGCCACGTAATTTGAGACACAGTATCAAGAATCTGGCAAAAAATAATTACAGTGTCAAGTGTCGGCGGATCGATGGCGACACGGCTGCTTCACCTCCTCTGCTAGCAGCTACGTTGTATTTGACAAATAACGTTATAATCAATCCAGGTCATCCCAGTTGCCAGTAAAAAATGATTTTGATGTATATTTTTGACAGCGAAGAACGGCATAATGGATGACAAAAAAGGTAACGCAAAAGAATGACACAAAATCCACCAACAAAAACCAACAATGTTACATAAAAGTCTTTGGGAGGATTCTTTGCGCGCTGGTGACAACAGCAATTCTCTAAATTCAAAACGCGTGCAGACGGGCAGACACACACAAATCCTAACTGACGCTGACACAGACAATAAGTTTGCTCTTACACAACGCTGAATGCACACACACACACAGCACACACACACACAGCATGGGAGCTCTGAGTCATGTTCAGTTGGAACGGAAGAGATGAACTTTCTAACTTAATGAGTAACAGACATTTTTGCTGTCTGAAGCAACAGGGAGTTGACAAGATTTCAAAGGAATACTGTGACTGATACCGTGACCACTGCCGTTAGCTTAGCTTAGCACAAAGACTGGAAACAGGGGAAACATAGCCTGGCCCTAAATAAAGCTGCCCGTACCAGCACCTCTGAAGCTTGTCGATCATCTCATTCAACTCCCTGTGAGAAAGTGAATGGGCACATTCGGTAAAAATGTTCCACACCTTCTTCCCTCCCCGTCATGACTCACTGCAAAGGAGCGAAGAAAATCATTTCTTTATTTTAACAGTGACAGGCGGGGATCACCCCGCTGTGTTAAACCCGTCCACCTCAATCATCCGATCCTCTCTGGAGTGGCTTCGGGGCCAGCTGCTCGGGGAGATGATGGCTTAGTTTTCACAATGAGGCTGGTTTCCTTCAGGCCCTTATTACTAACGCAGCCTGCTTATCATCAAATCAGCTGCCGTTACAGGTGGGATGCAAATAAAATAGGTATTGACAACCTTGAAAAGCTAGATGTTCATCACATCACCACTCTGTCAGATACAAAATACAGTTGCAAAACAGTGGGCATTGCATTGTGGGCGGGGTCGCCGTGGTGACAGTGTAACCATGTGAGCACTAATTAACAAAGCCCAGAGTTAATCTCATTAGGGTGAGCTTTTGTTCGTGGTGAGTGGTATTATATGTTGGGGGGGTGTGAGGAGGGGGTAAAGCTCGCCTAGCCATTAGCTTGGATTTAATCCGTAAATATACAGCTGCTGCCACTCAACGACTCTTAAAAATTAATCGTGGATTATGTTCAAACATTAATAAATTGAAATAAAATAGGCACAGTAATTGAGGACACAAGTATGAAAACATGCAATGAGTGACTTACATCTTGAATATATTTTAATTTGATTTATATTTTATCTTTTTAATTCTTTTAATTTACAAGAAAAATGGATTCAGTGTGCTATGGAGAGAAATCACTTGTTATATATATATATATATATATATATATATATATATATATATATATATATATAATTATTATATAATATTAACTTGCTTATATTATATCAATGTCCACAACTGTGATGAAAACAATAAAGATCTGTAAGTCATTAGCATAACAAACTATCTCAAAATGATGACTCAGCATCTCATGAGTATGACTCACGAGATAAAATGTCACAATTAAAACCTATTAAGTCAGAATTTTACAATACTTTAAGGACTTCTCTTCAAATACAATTAAATACACTACAAACATCCACAAACGGGCCATGATTAAGGACAGAATAAAACGATGTCAGGCATAAAGTTGCATCCACCCTACCTCAGGTTTCTGCAAAACTATCATCTTACCGGAAGCTTAGTGCTGACTCTTACAAAATAAAAGCGCATCATTAGCCAGGTTGTCGGGTGTAAAATAGCATCACGCAACATTAAAACACACGCAAACCCTGATGGTGCAGCGTCGATAAAAAAAAATAACTCAACTCGAAAACGTCATTTGGCCTCAGAAGTATTTTTCTCCAGGAAAGTCGTGACCGGAAACCGTCCGTCGTTCCGGCCGCCTTGACGCCGGTCACCTTTCCGTGATCCCGACCCCCCCCCTTCCAGCCAATCAGCGGCCGCCGGAGACGCAGCGGCGGCGATAGCTGCGCACGGGAGCGGGCGGCAGGAACAAAGAAGAGCCGCTCCGGTCGCGCGTGTTGAAAAGGACCCGTCGGTTCGCTCCGTTCAGCGCGGACGACGTTTCCGCTTCTTCGCCGCGGGGGTTTGGCGCTTGGCTTCGCGGGCGGAGGCTCTCAGTTCCCCCGGTGAGGGTGGAGGAAAGTTGGCGTCGTGAGACGTTTTTTTTTTTTTTTTTCTTCTTCTTCTCTTTTTTTTTCTTTGGTCGGGTCGCCTTTCTCGAAACCCCCTTTTTTCAGATCGCGTGTTTACCCGTTTGGATTCGCTGGTGGCGAGAGGTACCGAGAGGTGAGTTGAGGAGTTTTCTCTCCCTGAAAACAGCTGTGGAAGAATCGCGGGTGTGTTTTTGTTTTGTCGTTTCAAACTTTCCTCTTTCTGCGTTAAACGACATCTTGCGCAAAGCGCTTTCCCTCCAAACTCTGTTAAACATTTTGTTATTTTAGTGCTTTCCTTCCCTCTTTTGACCAATATAACACATTCGATGCATGAGCATGGGGGGGGTCGTTCTGTTCGGTGACCCCGTGTGGTTCGGGCTGAAGAAATAGTCCCGCGGTGGAAGAAGGCGTTGCGTGGTTCGGTCCCGCGCGGGGCCGAACAGGTACGACTGGTGCTGCAGCATCGTGCGCGAGGCCGAACGGAAACGCAGTTTTGCCCCCAGATCAATGCGCCGAAACACCGAGAAGACGTGCAAAGTGACCGGTCGGTCCCCCCCTCCCGTGTCTTTGTGCGTCGATCACTCAACGTGTGTGAAAGTTGCTTTTTTTATGAGTTCTCAACAAACCGCAGCGTGTTTAATCTCCCCGAGCGAAGGCGTCCATTATTCCAGGTGAGCAAACAAGGCTCCCGCCTGGCAAGGTGGACTATTTGACTTCAGGTTTGGATTTCAGTTCAGTGCCTGCTCGTACAAAGGGCCCAATGCTTCTCCCGCAACCACACCGTCTGGTCCCCCCCACTCCACCCCACCCCAGGCATTGGCAGGCTACTGTCCAGATAGTGCTATGATGAAGATCTGTGTGGGTGGAGCACAGCAGATGGGAGAGGTGGAGGATGTGGTGGACGCTGGTGTTTGCTTAGCGTCTCGTTCGACATGTAGCGTTGAACCTAAACGTTGTATGTTGAGGTCAAGGGATCCAGTCCTACCGACTTCTGCATTATTGCATTATCAAACATACCAACTGAGGGTTTGACCCCCCCCCCCCCCCCCCCCCCCCTCCCGGGACCAGTCTGACACCAGTTGACCCCGGGTTTACCGGCCTGGGTGGGTGGCACGGACGTGGCCATGCTGGCGGCATTTAGGGGTCACCAGTGGAGGTCTCTGCTGTGTTGGATCCAGTCCGGCAGGAGGACTAATAGAAGAGGGGGGGCTTCCAGATGATGGTCATTTTTCTCCATTGACTAAACAATGAATCAAGTAATCGCTTCTGATCCCGTTTTACATCTCCAGCTAAGACATTTGATGGATTTAATAACAAGCGCAAAACCTCAAGTTCTGACAAGTAAAGTAGACATTGGGGTCTTAAAACTTTCTCGTTACTCCTCAGGCAGCAAATATCCGGTATAGAGGTCTATGAGAAAATTATTTATTAATTTATTCCCTCAGTAAACCATGTAAAAGTGAGCTTATGGTGTTCATCTCTAGTTTTAAGTTTATAAATAAAGTGTAAGTGACGTATGAAAGACAGACCGGTGGGATGTCAGTCGGTCGGTGGGGGGCCGGGCTCTGTTGATGAGCCCGACTGCCGACGGGAAGAAACCGTTCGTGTGCCAGGAGGTATGACGCGCTGCAGCCTGCCCTCGTCCTTGGCTGTGGCTGCAGCGTACCAGACGGCGATGGAGGAGCAGAGGATGGACTCCATGATGGCCGTGTAGAAGTGCACCATCGTCGGCAGGTTGAATCTCTTCAGCTCTCTCAGGAAGAACCACCTCTGCTGAGCCTTCTTGGTGAGGGAGCTGATGTTCGCAAAAAAAAAAGCCAGGACGGTGACGGCCAAATCTCCAAATTCAATGTTCCAAATAACAAACTAACGGGCGCCGTGATTCAACGTTCTGCACAGGGCAGCGTCCAGAAAAAGGACCTACAACAGAAAACCGCCACCCGGAGCTCACGGGTTTCTGCTGCATCATGTCTGGAAACGTTATAAATATTCTATGCTGTCACCATCAGAGGAGCTGCTCGCTGTAGTTATCGGGATTCTGCAACAGTTACACACACACACACACATGCACGGCTGCGTCAGCAGAGCGGCCCGGTACCCGGCGCTCCTGGCTGCTGACTCGGCAGAATGTAAATGTTGTAAAATCTCGTTAAGATCAACGCGGGGCCTCGCGGGACGGCGTGTCACTTTAAAAGGTGTTTTGCGCCGTGTAATAGAATTCTCCCCCCGACTTGGATTGCTGTTTTTTTTTTTTTTTCTTCTCTTTTTACTTGTTTCGCTGCTCGTGTTAGTTTGTCATCGCTGGAGAATAACCGCTCTTGGAGGTTTTTGTTCTCGGCCACGCTGGTTTCTGAGGGAAATACTGCGTCGTGGTCCTGCTTTTGGACACGATTACGGCGATGGTTTACGGCGCATGTCGCCGCTGGGTGAGATTGGATTCTCCTCCTGCGCTCCGGGCAGATGACGGATGTTCCTCCTCACAGCGGGTCGCGAGGCGACGCGTTACGCAGGGCCGTTCGCCTTTCACATCTGAGGAGGATGTGGTTTGAAGCGCCGCTCCTCCTGGAAGAAGCTTCCGCCCACCCGTCTTTCTGAGCCGAGCTCCTCGCTCCGGTGAACGAACGCTACCCGCGACCTCGTGAGGCCGAACCTCAGCAGCAACAAGCTGCGCGCGTCTCGTCTCATACGTGCAATGAAGAGGAGTTGCGCTCTTGTACGCTGTGTTTTCTCCCTGCAGTCTTCACACAGATGTTGGAACATCTGTGTGCTGCATGGGGTCAGCGAGGCAAACACCGTGGAAAAGTGATCGATGAGCTGCGGAGGAGAAGGCAGTTACTGTAGCGGCCTTAACCGGCTTGACAAATGTTCTCCCGTACGTGATTTGATCCTTCAGTGAAAGACGACGGATTCGGCACACGCGAGGCTGCAGACGGTGACGGATCCGTCTTTGCATCGTCGCGGTAACGACGTGACGGCCTGAAGAATATTCTTTAAATATTCATCACATGTGAGGTGTTCCTTATTCCAAACGCAGGCGCTGGAAATCCATTATTTAAAACCGAGGCGGTGATCAATAGACGCGTGATGCAGCGGCTCCCCTGCAAACTTTTGCGCTGAAGCAGAAAGTTTCTTTTTTGTTTTGCTCCTACTTTTTCTTGTTTTTGAGCAAACGCAAACACGTCTTCGAAAAGTTAGACATTTAAATGACACGTGCCATCACGCCCGTTGCCGTGGAGATCCACCGCTCCTGCAGAAGCGCTCAAACCTCCTTCACGGGTTCATCCGTCCGTCTGGTTCTTTTAAGCAGCCTTTCGGTTGCTGGCTCTCATACGCAATATTCAGGCATCCTAAACGTGATCATTTCTGTGTAGCCTTCTGTAGTGGCTGTTTGTATGTTAACATACCATTGAAATGACTACGAAAAATATGGATGTATTTGTATTCAAATACATCCTAAGATGAATACAGTATTTAGTTATTCACATAAAAATGAATCTTCCAGATATTAGTTGTGTCTCTGGGTCATTTCTTTCATTAATAGATCAGATACGTTTCACCGCCGAGCACCTTGTATTCAGCGGTGAAAGCCGAGGTGCAGTTCTCTGAGGGGGGGGGGACTAGTTTGTGTCTCGAGGCGGAGTGTTTGGGGAAAGCAGCAGACGCTTTTCACGCTCGTGTCTTATTTTATTTTTTCCTTGTTGCATTTTTAATTAGAAGTCAGCGGCCCGTTAATCCATCCGAGCTGATGCACACACGCCGCGTTTGACTGGAGATAATGACCGGTTTTCTCCGGGGGGGGGGGGTAGATGAGGCCGGGGCTCGGCAACCGCTCCCCGGGCTAATTTATCCCGAAAAAGAGTGACGCAGCACTTTCTGATCCGCTATCGGGCCTCTTCAAGGGCGGGCCGCGGCGCCCGCTTGGCTCACGGCGAAAAGGTGCTTCCTAATTGGCCGCTTTTTGGTCGACGGGACGAGCTGTGAATATTGACTTGGATTCATTCGGGGCGTTTTTTGTACCGACGGGCTGCAGAAAAGTAAAACCAGATGCTTTAAAATGGATCTGTCTGTCTGTAGAGAAGCCACGATGAGGCCTTTTGGATTGGACGTGGAAGTCGTATTAAAGTGTTCGCATGTAAAGATTGTGGAGGTTCTTAAAACATTCAGAAACGTTTTTCATCAAACGTATTTAGTGATTCATTCCCACACGCAGCGAAGTGACCTTTATTTCCTACAAAAGGACGTCTTTCATAGCGCATGGCCGCTCAAACGGACTTTGGCGCGGTTGGAATTACTTTTCGCTGCTGCTAACAAGAAAATTGGAATCAGCAGGTCAGACTAAAAAAAAGTCTGCAAGGAAATTGGAAATGGGGTCATCGCTGCAATTTTCTATTATTCCTCCTCAGAGAATCAAGGGAGCCGGTGATTGGTTTCTCAAAGGAAGCATTCTCAGGGTAAAATAATCAAACCGGGAACTGGTAGCTGTGTTTTCCTGTACTGGTGGATGTAAACGTTCTGGTTGTGTTCGGGACTCGTCTCCGGGCTCGAGGCGTGGAGTATTCTGGGGATTCATTAGGTGCTCTCTCAGGGGCCCCCTGCTGATAAATGGTTCTTTCCCCCCCAACCGTCATTAAAACGGTCAAATCATTAAACGCCTCTTGTGGAGCACGTTTAATTGCACTTCGCCGTTTCGAAGCGGTTACTGTGCACCGCTCCTCTTTTTTTTTTTTTTAATCATCTCTCAAATGTCAGAGCAGATGTTGACGACGACCCGTGTGCACGGATTCAGTCAGAACCCGGCACACGCGTGTTGCAGGGCTCCGATGGGCTCTCCCGCTACCCGTGTGTGTGACCGAGTCACCGGGAGGAACTTTTAAACCGGTTCTGAAATGGTGTCGGTTCATTTCTGATGCCTCAATGTGACCAAAGTAAACAAAGTGTGTGTTCTTGTTTCATGCTAAAGAAGCTTCAGCCCTCCTAGTGAGGCCTGTTTCCCACAACTATTATTAGTCTCATTATAATCATCTTATTTCTGTGTCTACGTCAAGGAATGAGGGGCTTCTGTGTGAGTCACGTAAGCCCCCCTGCTGTCTGTGCAGACCACACACACACACACTCCACCAGGCCCTGGATCAA